TGGGAACTGTTTGGAGGAAGTCCCCTATCTGTGCGATCACAGCTTGGAGACGGGCAGTCTTCCTGTTGGATGTTGAAGCTTTGAGCATGTTGGCAAGCACCTTTACAGCGATGAGGCCATCCCAGTTCGACTGTTTGTAGGCCAGTGATGCAGCAGTAAGAGTCTCCCATTCGGTAATGACACTGGTGTAGCTAAGGTCTTGTATTCCCCCTTGAATCACCAAGGTTGTCCGGAAGAATTTATTTTATTAACTGGTCTGACGCTATGAAAGAAGATAAGAAAGCTGATAGAACAATATGGGAGGATTTGCTTACTCGCAGCCCCCCAAGCCTGACTGAAAGTGAGGCTTGTAACCACTGTCCATCTTCAAGGGAAAGATTCAGTACACTCTCTAGCATGGTCTTTAGGAGAGTCATATTCCTTAAGTTTTGGACTGTTGAACGCTGGAGAACATCTCAAGAAGTAGGTAAGTTTTCGGAGGGACAGGCACCTGGTGAGTAGGTAGAAGGCATCATATGCGTCAATGTCTCTTATTCTAACATATATATATATATATATATATATATATATATATATATATATATATATATATATATATACAATAAGATCACAGTAAACAGGTGATTTCAGAATATGCAAAATAACCACTCTGAAAGAATAGAGAAATTCCAAGCGCTTTCGTGACTACTCACATTATCAAGGAACTATGAAAGTAAAGCATCCAAGGAAGCTATATAAGGGGTCTGGCCAATACTTCACTATCAGATCCCACAACGGTTAAACACCTGACGCGCGCCGGCCCAACTGGACAGGTCCTTTGCACAACTCACCAACAAACTATTCTACCCAAGAAAATTTAAAAATTATTATTTGTCCAGTGTATTATTAAATTCTTCCCAAATTCTATTAATTATAAATGGATCTAATTTATATAAACCAAAGGAAATATTCATATTATTGTCAAAACTGCTTTTTATGAAACAAGATTCAATTATATTCCTGTCGACCATGGACTTGCTTGATACTACTTTCTCAACTTTTTGAAAATCAATTGGATGGTTAAAATCTCTTAAATGAATAAATAGAGAATTGGAATCTTGTCCAGTTCTAATGCTATATTTATGTTGTTTTAATCTTAGTTCGAGATTTTTACCAGTTTGACCGTAATAAACTTTATCGCAAATTTTACAAGAAATCTTATAGACACATCCATCAGCATTTTGGGGGGAATTCTTTATCAAAAGTTTTTTTACTGTATCAAGATTTTTGAATACAACTTTAATATTAAAAGTCTTAAGAAGAGAAGGCATATCAACCAAGTTTTCATGGTAAGGGAGAACCAACATATTTTTAGTTGAATAAGGCTGGCTGTCCCTTTTTGGATTGTAAAAAGTATTTCTAGCAACTTTAAAAGATTTATCAATTACATTTCTTGGGTATTTTAAATCATTACCTATTTCATAAATTTTGGATATTTCCTCATCTATGAACTCAAGACTACAAATTCGTAAAGCTCTCAAAAACATTGATGAGAAAACAGACAGTTTGACTATCTTGATGCGAGGAATAATAGTGGACATAGGAACAGTTATTTGTAGGTTTTCTGTAAATTTTAAATTTGAATTCATTTTTTAACCTTAATAATTAAAACATCTAGAAAAGGCAATGAGTTATTTTCTTCAAACCAACAGTAAAGTTTATAGAATGGGCTAAGTTATTTAATTTTCCAAGGAAATGGTGTATATCTACATTTTTGGCAAAGACCAAATATCATCAACATAATCTGAACCATTGATGATATTTTTTTGTCTTATGCCCAAAAATGTAGATAATACACCATTTCTTTGGGGAAAATTAAATAACTTAGCCCATTCTATAAACTTTACTGTTGAGTTTGAAGAAAAAAACTCTTGCCTTTTCTAGATGTTTTAATTATTAAGGGTAATAATGAATTTCAAATTTAAAATTTACAAAAAACTACAAATAACTGTTTCTATGTCCATATTATTCCTCGCATCAAGATAGAGTAAAACTGTCTGTTTTCTCTTCATTGCTTTTGAGGCTTTACGAATTTGTAGTCCTGAGTTCATAGATGAAGAAATATCCAAAATTTATGAAATAGGTAATGATTTAAAATCCCAAGAAATGTAATTGATAAATCTTCTAAAGTTACTAGAAATATTTTTACAATCCAAAAAGGGACAACCAGCCTTATTCAACTAAAATATGTTGGTTTCCCTTACCATGAAAACTTGGTTGATATGCCTTCTTTCTTAAGACTTTTAATATTAAAGTTGTATTCAAAAATCTTGATACAGTAAAAAACTTTTGATAAAGAATTCCCCAAAATGCTGATGGATGTGTCTATAAGATTCCTTGTAAAATTTGCGATAAAGTTTATTACGGTCAAACTGGTAAAAATCTCGAACTAAGTTTTAAACAAATAAATATAGCATTAGAACTGGACAAGATTCCAATGCTCTATTTATTCATGTAAGAGAATTTTAAACCCATCAATTGATTTTCAAAAAGTTGAGAAAGTAGTATCAAGCAAGTCCATGGTCGACAGGAATATAATTGAATCTTTTTTCATAAAAACCCAGTTTTGACAATAATATAAATATTTCCTTTGGTTTATATAAATTAGATCAATTTATAATTAATAGAATTTGGGAAGAATTTAATAATACACTGGACAAATAATAATTTTTAAATTTTCTTGGGTAGAATAGTTTGTTGGTGAGTTGTGCAAAGGACCTGTCCAGTTGGGCCGGCGCGCGTCAGGTGTTTAACCGTTGTGGGATCTGATAGTGAGGTGTTGGCCAGACCCCTTATATAGCTTCCTTGGATGCTTTACTTTCATACAGACACATCATTGCACTGCTGGCCTTGCTACTGGCAAGCCACAGTCGCTCCTCAAGTAGTGTCCCTACGATCCCCGTTGGGGAGGGGAACCTCTACTCATCGTATCATCGTCTGCCCACTCCTTCATGATGTCAGCAAATCGTGTAAGGATTAAACCTAATAGTGGAGTAATAAACGACTCCACTAAACTCGCCCTAGCTGTCGCTGTAAGGACCTGCCTGCAGATCAAATTCACATCGATACTCTCAACGAAAGACTCATTCATCGTCGTCTGTACAGACGATTATGAAGCCTCCAAATTTATGGCCGACGCATCTACCAAGACTCTCAATGACCGACGTTCACCATTACCCCTTCACCTTCCCTGCTGGGGAAAAAAGTTCCGTTTTCGTTAAACGACTGGACAAACTCATCACTACACTACCGAATGAAGAACTCAAAACTTCAATCGAAGAACAAATACTTGGGCAACGATTGAACACATCCCAGAATCCCAAACGCCTCAACCATGATCAAGATAACCTTCACGAGCATCGATATGGCGAAAAGAGCACTGTCAGATGGTTGGCAATCTCATACTATCATATCCTCCCAGCACGTAGAACCGGAACGTTTCGCCCACATCTCGCCGTGCTGGACTTGTTACTCATACCACCACTCGACACCTGACTGTCCCATGAAAGGAAAACAATACTGCACAAACTGTTGTAAAGATGGGCATAACTACAAGGAATGTTCCACCACCAATACCTCTCCTACCTGCCTCAATTGCAAAGGATCTCACCACACCCTTGCAGCCAAATGCCCTCTTCGCAAAGAAGTCCTGACCAAGAAAATTCAATCTGATACAACAAAAATCCTTCAAGCTACAACACAGCCATCCTCACCCAGCTTAGCACTCTCTGCTCTTCCCGACGCTGCCCCATCCAAGGTGCTCTACTGCATGATGTATGCCCACCTTGCCAAATTTCTGCTAATCCTGGCTCCTTCAACACAAACAATCACGAACTGTTTCGCCTCAACAACATGCCAAGCTTCAACTTCCCAGACACACCACCATCTCAAGACCTCCTCAAGCTTATACCTGACACCGTAAATCTCACCACACCATCAGGTCCTAATCAAGTCTCCACTCCAGAACCCATGCCACCGTCTACTACCCCGTCTCACTGCCCACCTGTCCAACAAGCCACACTGACCCTTGCTCCAGCCTCCTCTTAAACAATCACAGAAGACGACACGGAACAAGAGTATTATGAGCAAAACCCCCAGACGAGAAGAAGAAGAAATCATCGAAGAAGACACAGAACAAAGCGGCCATTACTTTAGTGATTCCTTTAACCGATCTCTAACCTTCTACACCACGCCCAACCTACCAACTGATATGAGTGCAGCTGATTTACTCCACTTACTGAAGGAAGGCGCCGTCAAATATACCTGCAAACATCCTCACAAAATTCCTTTTGAAAACGTACTATCCCTCCTCGTGAATCACCTGAACTGCTCCAACCTCAGAATGCGCCTATATCACATGACCAAGAGAGACTTTAAACGGCTAAAGTGTGGAACAGTCATCAACGAGACATAGCACAACAACAGCAACACAAGATCTGAGCCTCCCGACACGTGACATTTAACACGCTGCCAACCTCCACATCACCTCAGTACGAGGCAAGTCAGCCAGCGAGCACTGTCTGCAATCTGCTCTCTCTGCGCTCCCCACACGTTCCCTCTACACTGCCTCATAATGCTCCGCAGCTGGGTTAAGCCCTGGCACTTTATCTCATCACTCAAGACATTCCTCTCACCGACTACCCTTCGCCTGTCCCCACTTCCCCATTCACCCACTCGTGGGTCTTACCTGAGAGTATGCGTTCGTTCGTACTTTCATAGTTCCTTGATAATGTGAGTAGTCACGAAAGCGCTTGGAATTTCTCTATTATTTCAGAGTGGTTGTTTTGTATATATATATATATATATATATATATATATATATATATATATATATATATATTATATATATATATATATATATTATATATATATATATATTATATATATATATTATATATATATAAGCCTAAATACACTGACCTCCCTGACCACCATGCCCATTATGCCGGTCCATGAACCATTATTGAGTCTAACACCCCAGACTCTATCAGGAGGTCGCATGAAGGAGTACCTGGTGAGATACATACTGTATATAACTGTGTACAGTAATTTTTAAGCAATACATTAACAGTTGCATGCTGAAAAAAATCTTTTTAAATTAATGTAATAATTCATTGTGGAGAGCTAGGATTTGAACCTTCGGTCTGGTAGCTGCCGACACAACGCTATTTATTCACTGCACCACAAAAGACCATATGTCTTTCTCCTACCAGGATTTTTTGTTATGTGTAGACATTCCGAAAAGCAACATTCTAGAATTCAATTAAAAGTTTTAGTTAAAGTCAATTAACTTTATGGCACACAGTGATGATAAAAAATGTCTCCTGTAGCTTCTGAAACTCTCGTTCCACTAAGCCAAGTCACTGTTTCAGAAATATGTTGTAGTTATCGTGGCTGAGTCGACAGAATATTGGATAAGCATTTGATAAGCCTCGAGTTCAAATCTCAAACTCTTCTTGAAATTAAATTTAGTTTATAATGTATGTATTCAGTTGAGTTTTTGATGATTAGAGATTCGCTATAAAAACCTTCCACACTTTACAACCTATTGAAGACAAGTAAATTCGTCATGCCTATGAGGCCCATCACTTCACATTAGATAGTACCCCCACACACTGGCCGGTACTATGTGAAGAGTCTTTCAGGACTCCTGGTGAATAATATAATTGAAAATAATATTATAAGGAGGTAACGGGTAAGCCAGTGGAAGGCCTCGATCAGATGACCAAAAGCTCCAGTGGCGGGACATCATGTGACTAAGATCCGCGTCAGGAAGCACTTGTCCTCTTTCCTGTTGGATTTATAGTCCCCTCCTGGGGACTATATGTCCAGAACATCAACATAATCATCAACATAATCAAGAACTTCCACTGACGCTTCATTGATGTCACTATTGACATACGTAAAAAGGAAAATCCTACACTGACACTAATCTCCCTAGTTAATTAAGCATTGTGGGAACCTTAAGGTGCCAAAGTACAATGTTTTGGCAAGACAATGTGTAACCCCCTTTGAGAATGAAGGTCTCCAGTCCAAGTACTCAACACCTTAACCTGGCATTGATATGTAGATGCTTTGTTGTATATGATATGTTAAACACGAGTGCAACATCTGGGTATCTTTATTCGTACAAGTTTTGTCCTCTAGTAGTTCTGTTGATATACAATACACAGACATTAATGATAAATTCTTAAATTCCTTAAGAAATATGGAAATTACCCAGGAAAATTATGATCACGCACAAAGAGTTTTTCATTTTGGAAATCGTAAGACTTCGGGTGATTAATGTAAAATATGAAGACTGATGTGGGATTATTGGCTGACCTCTTCATGGAATGGCCGAGAACACTCAAAGGTATTTATAATTTAGATGGTATTAATTGTATAAGTTTAACATCATTCATTTGGGATACCTTGTTAAAATCTAAAGTTAGCTAAACATGATCCATTCCCATTAATTATATGATCTCATTAAAAGAAATCTTAAATGTGGTTTTACTAGTGCAGTCAGTTAGTTTACCAACACAAATAATCCATTAGTAAATCTTAAATTCGAGGAGAGGGTTTAGGCACTCATATATTATACCTAGATTTCAATTCTCTGTCTGCCAGTGTGATGGTTGAGGCACTCCCACAGAAAGGTATAAGAATATACACAAGTGTAGGATTAAATAATATTTCGTGTGAAGGGTGATAAAGAATATTATATATTTTGTGATACCATGCCAATTAAACCTTGATGTGGCTAGATACACAGATGATCTTCCATTATCACATGAATGTTACAGAATCTCTTTTGAGAACAGAAGGAAGAAAGCTACCAAAATCCACCACCAAATTAGACGCTAGCCTTTACCATAGAAAAATTATTTAATGAGTTTAGATTTATTTCAATTATTAATGGATATTAGTTTAGTGGCCGAAAGAATAAGTGAAGTATGTGAGCGAATTACACTTTTGGAATCATTTATCAGAACTAATATCGAGAACTGCTATGCAATGCTTCATTAAGTTCACAGCTTACAAGTTCACTAATAATGCTATATACTGGAAATTACTACTAATATTACTAAGTATGGGAATACATTCAGATATATAAATAATGAGACTTCCTCTAAAACCGCCAAGGATCCATTTCTGAGAAATATTACACATTTGGGTCAAGAGTAATTTGTTGATTTGCCATGCAATATTAGTGGTTAATCAACCTTTTCATCTCTGTTTTCAAAATTCTCAAGATCGACAAAAAAGATACTGTATCGCTTTTAATGTAAAATGTTAAATCCTCACTGAGGGGATGATGTTCCTTTGTCATATACAGACGCAGATTCTTACATATTCAGCATAAAAAATAGGGATTTACAAACTGAGTTGAAGAGAAAACCACTGGTTTCATATATGAATTTCTTTAATTATCCCGGATTATCCGTTGTATGATAATAGGAGAGTTAGAATTATTAAAAATGAAATGGCACATAATATTAGTGAGTTAGTATGTCTGAAGGCAAAAATGTATTCTGCAAAGGTGACTGATAGGATAGATTATATCGGTAGAGCAAAGGGACACCCATCCCATTTCATGCCTTTGTTAACTTGTGCTCGTTATAGGACTGTTGACTAAATCTGATAAGGAGACATTCGAGTGCAAATTGATTAGTAATGTGAAGGGGAAATGTGTACTGTAGAAATTAAAAAGAGAGGAATCTCACCTTTGACGATAAAAAGTACCTCACAAGTCCAGCTAGATCAATAGGATGTGGACACCCTGATATACCAGTGAAAAGGAAAAGATTGAACTAGGAAGTGTTGTATGTACTTTTGTACGTCTTGTAAAGTATTTATTCATTATAAAATGTTTGAAGGCTAAAACTTGTATGTCTTAACATGAAAAATGAAATTTCAATACTTGTAATTAATGTATACTACGTATTATAATGTCACTTATGTGGCCGTATTGTATACTTTTATATTGTATGTCTTAATGTATTGTTTTATCGATCTTGAAGCATGTAATGTATTGTAATATAATGCCACTCACCTGCTGTACTTTATTTTACCACAAGTTAAAGAGTAAAAGTTATCAAATAAAAGATTACTAAAATTTTGTGTTTTTTTCCCCATGATCTTAAAGTCTTCCAACTAGGAATGGTTTCTAAGTTTTACCATGAGTTTTATGCTGTATAGTCTAACAACTACCACGGAGTGATGGCCATAAGTTCTTATAATGCCACAAAATGGTAATATGATCTACTGAAATAGGTCACAGTGGTGATAATGTTTGTTGCTAACAAAGTGTTGTGGATAACACCCTCGTGTTATGTTTGAGCTTGCATGCGAAGAGGGTAGTTGGAAACACCTTAAAATATAGGGAGAATGAATGGGAGGTTATGGGATGGAGGGTAGATTAGTACATATGAAGCCACTAAGGGTGAGGTTAGGGAGATGAAGGGAAGATTGGTACCTATGAAAGCATTGAAGTAACTTGGGATAGTGTCAGTAGTGGTATGGGGAGGATTGGGAAGTATGTGGGAGGGAGTGGGGAGCATGGATGGACTCTTCATCCAAAGTGTTGAAGATAGGTTGGTCATGGAAGGTCGAGGGGGAAATGACGCAGTGCTCTGGGAGGGCCAGGAGCAAGAGACGCACTGCTCTGAGACGCGCCACTCAGAAGACTGCTTTTATGGGGTACACCCAAAGATTTACATCCGTGAAAACGGGACACTCTGAGAGGTTCCTCCCTGTTTAATCCAAGATAACCGTTTCTGCCTCTTTTGCCATAATATATTCTTATTAGGTATGACATGTAATATTCGTAAAAATAAAGAATTGATTAAAAATTTTGTTTTATACCATGTCTTTTAAGCTTACCAGCTAAAGCCTAACTCATCAAATACCACAAAATGGCAATAGTGGTCTTATATGACACTAGCTGCATACCACGTGAGTGATGATGTTGGTCGCCGATGTAAGGTAATGTGCATCACACACTGGTGTGATGCAACCTGTTGGAGCTTGCATGTGGAGAGTGTATGTGGGTACACCTTCAAATGTGGGGTGATGGAGGAAGGGTAATGGAGGGGAGATTGGTACATATGAAAGCATTGAAGTCACTAGGAGGGAAGTTGGGGTTGCATAGAACTCTTGATCCAAGGTATTGGAGATAGATTGGTCATTGGAAGTCGAGGGAGAGGCGGGAGGAGAGGTAAGGAAGGAGATTGAGGGAGAGATGAGTGGAGTTGAGGGGAAAATGGGGTGACAGGAGGAGTGGAGGTAGGAGGGTGGAGGGTTGGGGCGGAAGGTAATTATAGAGGATAAAAATAATTTTCGGGAAAATGATATTTCTTAAAAAAAATTCTTGGGAAATGATTCATGATGAAGTGCTCTGGGGCCAGGAGCTAGAGGCTCACCGCTCAGGAAAAATACTTATTCTCAGTTCTGAGAATCTCCGCTCTGAGAGACTCCATTTTGGGATGCCCTTCAAAAGTCACACTTTAGTGTGGCCCCCAAAATCACTCCCTCCACCACCCAAAAGTTCTCAGCACTGACTGGTTCCATTCTATTGACATGAGACGGTGTTGACAAAGTGATCAGCTGATGCCCAACCGCAAATGTACATATGTTCGGTGAGTATCGGGGTGACTAAGCGATGAGCTACACCAAATCGAATGGCCGAGTGCCCAAGGAGAAATTAGAGACAGCTGAAAGGAAATCTTTCGAATGTGATGTCCTTACTGCTAGGAAACGAGATTTGTTTTTTCAGAGGCATTGTTGAGCATTGTGTGGGCGATTTTTTTTTCCACGATTGATTTGTTCCAGTGCGACTGTTTGTGCTTTCTGCGCGGAGCTGGTCTGCTTGAAGAGTCTGCAAGGCTGTCCCATTGCGTGGCTGCTTCGATAAATATTGGGTCCCGAGCTCCTACAGCCCCTTTCAAGCGTTCGAGGATAATTTCCTTAATTAGATCACCGGATGCAATGCACGAGTACAGAAATCCAGATGATGTTACCTGCGTTGCCTTGCGCACACCTGTATCTCACAGTCGCACTGGAAGAGTTGCTCAACCCCTCTGCATCAATATGGAAAAAAGGGAAAATACTACTGCGATAATATAAATGAACAGAACAATGAGAAAATCTCGGTCGTTTACGCACACTTTCGACAGAAATAGAGAGAAGAATCAAATATAACAATTTCGCGTGTTTGGAAGTTATTTCTAATGTACATGATTAAATAATAGTTCCTTTAGGGAGATGTGATGAAGGAATCTAGAAGAAGCCGAACCTACTCCTTTTCTAAGAGATGCAGTTTTTGAAGTCACTGCTAAAATTCACAATGTGGAGCAAACAATTCACATTTAATTCAGAAATTGGAGATAAATCTTAAAACAATGCCTTGGTAGGTCTTGTAAAGAAAAAATAGGAGACAGAAGAGGTCAGGTGAAGTGAGAAACAAATCAAGATCAGGTCAAGTAGGGGAAAACAAGACACAAAATGGAATCCCTTTTGAAAAAGTTTAATGGAAATGTTTCCTTCCTGGGTCTCTGGCTACTCCAAATGTACATAAGAGCTAAGCATATATAGTCTGGAAAACTCATCCGCTGGAGGTAGTGTATTGAACGAGGATCAAGTTACTGCGTGGCAGTGATACTGTAACTTCCTGCATTCTGTGTGACTTTCATTTTTATGTCAATGAGAGAAGCTCTAAACAGCGTCTGTGAAGATTTGGTTCTATGATAATTACCTGTGCTTAGGTACATCCATTAAATGCTCTTCTGAGTCTGTGTGGATGACACACTCTTTACTAAGACTGTCCATGTTGCACGCGTATTAATGCTCGTTATTTCTAGTTCACAAATTAATGCCTGTCTCTGAGATGTATTTATTTTCAGAGACTGCCTAGGATCATGGAGGCCCCGGTGGTAGATGCAGATTGATAAATCGTTAACTGCTTCTTAGTGAGTTCGTTTATGAGCGAGGTTGCAGCTCTTGCCAAAACACATATGATCATCATAGCGTCAAATCTTCATAGACGTCCTTGTTTGGAAGTTTCTCTCATCACTGTGATAAGAGCAGTAACAGTTATCAGGAAGCTATAGCACTGCCACCACGCAGGAATAAATGTTCATCAGTCAAGCATCGTCCCGTTGACCACTGGATATAGTATTTAATGTTAAAAGTCACTAGACCTCTGCTTTATTCATGGATTTTCCCGACTACATAAGTTTATATTTAGAGTAAGCAAGCTTCGAAAAATCTAAACATGTTGCTTAAACATGTCCTAAACTGATGTATATTCTGTCTTTTTCCACTGATTGTCGTTATCATACAGTCAGGTCAAGTGGCTGGTGTTCTAAATATTAAAGCACTTGGCAATATACTGAGACAGAAGCAAGCATCAAGAGAGACAGAACCGGGAATCATATTCGTCACAAGAATATTATGTTTAAGGGCCAATTCATCAAGGTAACGTCTGTGAAGGGTAACGCGGAATATATATTCTTAACAGAGAATAAGCTTATGGGGTAGCTATGATTTCAAAAATAATATAAAAGGACGTTGTTTGTCTCAGCAATGTAAACACTTATTTTATTGTGTGTTGTAAATCTGTCAGAAATGGCTCGGTAAGTTCCACCAAAACATTAAATACAGCTAGATGAGCAGGAAACAGAGGTACGTAGAAAGGACACGTTAGAATGAAAGAATTGAATATCAGAAACACGGAGAATTCGGAGAAGAGAGAAACAAAAACACTTCTCATAACATATTGTGCATGTAGCTAGACAAGTACATTTGCTGACCCGTGTCGGTAGCGAGCCTTCCTCTTGTGTCAGTATATCAATGGCGTGCTTTGCCGAGAAACTGAAATATTTGAGACATGTGCAAAAGTTGGGCACTTTGATTTGTAGTGGTCTCACCAAGCAGTGGCTTTATCAACACAATACAGGGACATAGACTGACGACTAGAAGACGTAATCAGGCTTGCAGAATTATATGCAAAAGACATTTGCAAATGAGGTAATCAGTCTCTCACTTTAGAAGCAGATGTTCAGTACCTTGATCTTAATCATCAGGATTAAGGTGCTGAACATCTGATTGTAGGCTGAGGGACTTCTACAATCCTCGTTAATGTCCCTGTATTCATCCCTGGTTGGCAAACATTAACATTCTAAGATATTGCACATGTGTCTAATTAAATGACCTGTTTTAGTAACGAGTTGGCCTTTGCATACGTCGTCGTGCTTAGGCTAGACCTTAATGTGCACGAGTCAGTGACTGGCTTTGCCCTTCCCTACTGCTGGAAGCTTATGCTCAGTGGTATGTACATTCACTACTTTTCCTGCCACATAAAATGTTAATAATTTTGCGGAGTTTACTTACGTGAAGTTGAGTGCAACGGAGAGGTATTCTATGAATTTTCCCAATGCACCCTGGAACTGAACCATGTAACCTTTAGGGCCAAATACCGTCAATAACCTACCAAAGCCAGAGTCGTCGACCGCCACCAGCAAATTCGGTCTGATGTGGAACCTACGAGATTGGAGGAGGCAGATACCAGTTAGCTAATGGATTAACGGGCGTTCAAAGCCTATATATATACCGCGAGTGAAGTACACTCCTCCAGGTATATACCCTGTGTAAGATATTACAAAAGTATTCAATATATAATAAGATAAAATAATAATATAAGAGTACAGAGGTTTTTCTGGCATTTATGGATTTGGAAACGGCATATGATAGAGCGGATAGGGAGGCAATATGGCAAGGTTGCAAATGTATGGAATAGGAGGTAGGTTACTGAAAGCAGTGAAGAGTTTTTACGAGGATAGTGAGGCTCAAGTTAGATTATGGAGGAGAGAGGGAGATTATTTCCCAGTAAAAGGAGGTCTTAGAAAGGATGTGTGATGTCACTATGGTTGTTCAATATATTTATAGATGGAGTTGTAAGCGAAGTGATAGGGTCAACAGGAAGGGTTGTGAGGTGGCGATGTATGTCAGAGAAAATTTTAATTGTTGTCTTAGATATGATATAAGATTAGAAACATCGAACACAGAATCTGTTTGGCTATAGTTTCTAGAGAGACGTGACAAATTAATTTTGGGTGTGATTTATAGGCCCCCAAACCTTGATAGGGAGTGCAGTAAGCTGTTATGGGACGAAATTCATAAGGCATCTAGACATGAAAATGTTGTGATAATGGGAGATTTTAACTTTAGACAAATTGATTGGAACAATATGTCAGGAAATATTGAGTCTAGTGACTTTCTTGATACGGTTCAGGATTGCTTTTTAGAACAGGTTGTGACAGAACCAACTAGAGGAAACAATCTGCTTGACTTGGTTCTTGCCAACAAAGATTCACTAATTAATAATCTTGAGGTTAATGATGAGCTTGGGGAAAGTGATCACAAATTACTTCGTTTCAATATATCATGGAATTACCCAGATAACTGCAATCAAATCTCAGTCCCAGATTTTCGCTTGGCCGATTTCATGGGACTGAAAAATTACCTGGGTGGGGTAAATTGGGATGTCTTGACTATGGGTCAGGTAGGTGATCTTGGTTGCCAATATGACGTTTTTCAGAGTATAGTTCTAGCTGCCCAGACAACTTTAGTTCCGAGTAGGGAAATTAGATCTAACAAAAATGATCCCAATTGGATGAACAATAGATTAAAACATCTCATTGGTCAAAAGAGAGGCATATATAGGCGTATCGAAAGAGGGGATGGGCAGTTAAGAAATCAATATATTAAATTAAAGAGAGAAATAAAGAAAGGAATAAGAAAAGCAAAAAGGGATTATGAGGCTAAGGTCGCAAGGGATTCAAAGACTAACCCAAAAAGGTTCTTTGATATATACAGAAGTAAAATTAGGGACAAGATTGGCCCACTTAAGAGTAACTCTGGTCAGATCACTGACAGTGATAAGGATATGTGTGAAATTCTCAATACATACTTCCTCTCAGTTTTCACCCAGGAAAATACTAGCGATATTCCTGAAATAATAGATTATGTATAACAGGATGATAATAAACTATGCATGATTGCGGTAACTAGTGACATGGTCCTCAGACAAATAGAGAAACTAAAACCTAACAAATCCCCAGGTCCTGATGAACTGTTTGCAAGGGTGTTAAAGGAATGTTAAGAGGAACTTAGCATACCTTTGGCTAATCTTTTCAACATATCACTACAAACTGGCATAGTGCCTGATAAGTGGAAAATGGCAAATGTAATACCTATTTACAAGGCAGGTGACAGGTCCTTGGCTTCGAACTATAGACCAATAAGCCTTACCTCAATAGTGGGAAAATTTATGAAATCAATAATTGCCGAAGCAATTCGTAGCCATCTTGATAGGCACAGAATGATTAATGTATCTCAACACGGTTTTACAAAGGGGCGTTCCTGTCTTACGAATTTACTAACTTTTTTCACTAAGGTATTTGAGGAGGTAGATCATGGTAATGAATATGATATTGTGTATATGGACTTCAGTAAGGCTTTCGATAGAGTTCCACATCAGAGGCTATTGAGGAAACTTAAGGCACACAGAATAGGAGGAGAAATTTTTTCCTGGGTAGAGGCATGGCTGACAAATAGGCAGCAGAGAGTCTGCATAAATGAGGAGAAGTCAGAATGGGGGCACGTCACAAGCGGTGTTCCTCAGGGGTCAGTGGTGGGTCCGTTGTTGTTCACAATTTACATAAACGACATAGATGAGGGAATAAATAGCGACATAAGCAAATTTGCAGATGACACCTAAATAGGCCGTCCAATTCAATCTAATGAGGACGCTAGAGCACTCCAGGATGATTTGAATAGACTGATGCAATGGTCGGAGAAGTGGCAGATGCAGTTTAATATTGACAAATGCAAAGTTCTAAATGTTGGACAGGTAAATAACCATGCCACATATAAACTAAATAATGTAGATCTTAATACTACTGATTGCAAAAAGTATTTAGGAGTTCTGGTTAGCAGTAATCTAAAACCAAGACAACAGTTTACCTGGAGAGAGTTCCGGGGGTCAACGCCCCCGTGGCCCGGTCTGTGACCAGGCCTCCTGGTGGATCAGAGCCTGATCAACCAGGCTGTTGCTGCTGGCTGCACAGTACATTAGTGTTCACAATAAAGCTAACAGAATTCTTGGCTTCATATCTAGAAGTATAAATAATAGAAGTCCTCAGGTTGTTCTTACTCTATATATCCTTGGTTAGACCTCATTTAGAATATGCTGCACAGTTCTGGTCACCGTATTACATAATGGATATAAATTCACTGGAAAACGTACAGAGGAGGATGACAAAGATGATCCCATGTATCAGAAATCTTCTCTATGAGGATAGACTGAGGGCCCTGAATCTGCATTCTCTAGAAAGGCGTGGAATTAGGGGGGATATGATCGAGATGTATAAATGGAAAACAGGAATAAATAAAAGTGATGTAAATAGCGTGCTGAAAATTTCCAGCCAAGACAGGACTCGCAGCAATGGTTTCAAGTTGGAAAAATTTAGATTCAGGAAGGATATAGGAAAGCACTGGTTTGGTATTAGAGTTGTGGATGAGTGGAACAAACTCCCGAGTACAGTTACTGAGGCTAAAACGTTGTGTAGTTTTAAAAATAGGTTAGATAAACACATGAGTGAGTGTGGGTGGGTGTGAGTTGGACCTGACTAGCTTGTGCTGCTGGGTCTGGTGCCGTGCTCCATCCTTAAGTGGAGGTGACCAGACTGGGTGGGTCATTGGGCTAATCCGGGGGAAGACATGGACCTGCTCTGCATGGGTCAGTAGGCCTGTTGCAATGTTCCTTCTTTCTTATTTTCTTAAGTGTGAGTTGTCACAGTTAATCTTTACTGATGACACTGTGTTTTTGAGAGATTCTGAAGAGAAGTTGCAGAGGTTGGTGGATGAGTTTGGTAGGGTGTGTAAAAGAAGGAAATTTAAAGTGAACGCAGGAAAGAGTAAGGTGATGAGGATAAAAAACTTAGGTAATGAAGGATTGGATATCAGAGTGGAGGGAGGGAGTATGGAAGAAGTGAATGTATTTGGGAGTGGACGTGTCAGCAGATGGGTATATGAATAATGAGGTGAATCATAGAATTGATGAGGGATGAGAAGGTGAGTGGTGAACTGAGGAGTCTGTGGAGACAACCAACATTATCCATGGAACCAAGGAGGGGAAATGTATGAAAATATAGTTATACCAACGCGCTTATATGGGTGTGAAGCTTGGGTAGTGAATGTTGTAACAAGGAGAAGGCTGGAGGCAGTGGAGATGTCATGTCTGAGATGTGAATATAGTGAATATAGTGAGGTGTGAATATAGTGAATATAGTGTGTGGTGTGAGTATAGTGAAGAGAATCCGCAGTTTGGAAATTAGGAGGAGGTGCGAGGTTACTAAATCAAGAGAGCTGAGGAAGGGGGAATTTGATGAGGTAGTTTGGATATTTAGAGACTTTAACAAAATATAGTATCTGAGCGCTTCAGCTAAGACAGTGATTATGTATGAGTGATGGTAAAAGTGTTGAATGATGATGAATGTTTTTTCTTTCTTTTTAGGTCACCCTGCCTCGGTGAGAAACGGCCGACAGGCTGTGCACTTTGCATCAAAGTGTTCGTTACTTTTGCCACATAGCCAGAGCCAGATAGGAATAGGCGCCTAGCTGAAGCTAGGTGTTGTTTCCCACACCCCGGAGCATGAGGCTTGTGATAAATTATTTCATCTCTTCCTGACACATGCAGTGAACTTCGAAATGGAGTTTACAATACTTAACAATTCACTATACACAAATAACCCGCACATCTCTTCTATGTGCGGGTTATTTGTGTATCGTTTCAGTCACGGTATTGTGCCTTTTTTTGTTACTTAACAATTCGCAAACGAGTACAATCTAGTTTCTGAAACTCACTTTGAGAATTTTTCCGGGAAGAGTGGGAGGTGTGAGGTGAGGAGGAGGCCACGACGAGGTGTCCAGGAGGCCACCTGCACAACCTGGGATCCCCGCGGACTATACGGCAGCTGGACGTAAACACTGCACCTGTAACACCAACTTATACACTAGTTCTTTAGTGAAAATACATTGCGACATACATAGGTATGTACACGTGAATGTGATTATCTGTTCTACTAATATGCATGTATATTGTGTTTGTGTATATGTTCTCATGGCTTCTACTGTTCTTGTCATCTAATTTCATTGAATTCATTTCTTTTAATCTTTCCTTCTCTGGCTTTTTTCTCCTAATAGATCATTAGGTTCATTTCCGTTATTCTCTGCTCATAATGGATTCCTCAGTTCTTGAATTAAACTGGTTGTAAACGTCAGGACCTTGTAATATTTTTGCACATATTTAACCGTGTGTGGACACCATTTTGGCAGAGCATTCTCTGACACTGCTCTCATATATGTTGTGTATAATGTGAAAAACTCTTTTCGTTTGTTCATTAGAGCAGCCAGTCTTGGATATGCTGCCTCTGTGATGCGGTTAACGTGTGTGTCAGCTAAGATGATCGATGCAATAGTCTTCCCCTCTACCAGAGATTTGATTTCTTCCTGTACATTTTCGTGACTCTACACTGATGCTGAAATTCAGTAGCCCCTCGTTTGAGCATGTCGGTAACCACGCGATCCTTCTCATGTCGAAATATTATATTTAGTTTAATTTCACCATCCCCCCCCAAAAAATAAATTAGTCCTCTATGGTTGGTCGCTTCCAAGTACAAATTTTATGGGTCCTAATATTAAATCTTCAGGAATCCTCTCGTCACATTTTCCCAGTCTGAGCCTTTCTCCTTAACAGTAACTCTGTCTTCTGGTCTCCAAACATTTCTAGATCAACAGAATCACTTTCCTTTAATTTCTGCTTATTCCTTAAGTCTATAGCTCAGTCTTTCTGTTGAGGCATAAGTTTCGAAGGACTCCCCGCAGTGTAGGATTATGCATTCACAAGGTCATTTACTGTTTTGCTTGATAACCGTGATTCTCTAGTTTGTCTAACGGCTGTTAAGCATGACCTACTTCCACTAGTGGATCCAGATCACTTGCGATCTCATCTCCAAACTGTTACACTACACCCACAAACACCTGCTTTAGGCAAAGAGACTTATTTTCTTGCACCAAGAGTGATGACTGATTTTATTAGACTTACCTCTTCGCTTCGTCTTCTTCGTTTTTCATCAAAGGTGATCCATCCCGGAGTGAAATCCATCTCTGTATTCTACTGATGAAACCTACAGCGCAATATGAAACGTTTGGATAATAAAGATTCCATCTGTTGCACACATGTATTACTCCTCACAGTTTCATGTTGTGTAGGTGACAACTTATGAATTTTATAACTTATATAATAAACACATGAACTGCTGTTTTCTCAGATGAGGAATCTATGTTAGTGCTACATTTTAAAACAGATATGACATATGTCTTCTACAGTGTTTTGAACGATTCCTTATTGAGGTATCTGAAAGGAATTCTAATATTGTTAGCCATACTGATTTTATGTGATAAATACGTTCCTCTGGCTGAATATTAATTGCTATGATTACTCTCAGGCCCTTGAAATTGAGAGTCTCACCATATTACATTTTCTAGGCCACAAATGTACCGAGTCAGCCACGCTAGTTAGAAAATACTTTGGGCAACTCCAGGAGTTACTAAAACCTCTTCTTCCCCATTCTTTCTTTTATTTTTTTTTATAGACTCTCCAACATTACGAGTCTCCTGCATAAATTACAGTGGTCTCTTGAATATAGCATAAGCTAAAATATTTATCGACAGTGCTCATGTAATGAAATCTTAACTATATCTTGGAGTAACAAATCGTGAAAAGTTCTTCTCGTTGCATACTTTGTGTAGCTTCTTCTCTACCAGTTTATATTTTATAATCTGTCTTAGGTTTCTTGTAACCTATCTTCGTCACCTAAGGTTTTTTTCTCTCATTATTGTTATTATCATCAAAGAACTATATATGGAATTTGATCTCTTATATATTAAGAAGAGCAAGAGTCCTGGTACTGATGACCTGAGGACGCGCATTTCTACTCGCTTCTTTTTCTATAACGATATTTTTTCCCTCAGTAGTGTATGCTGTTAAGAGTTATTATATTTAATCTTTTTTTAAGTATATATTGCGAAACGCTCATCACCTGATGTTTGTTGTGTCGTCGTTGATAATAACCAACATAGAGTTGAGGTTGGACAAGGTTGTGTGGAGATCCTGCAGCTCCATGAGGCGAGAGTGAGTGAGGATGAGGAGCCTCGTCGACCACACCATGAGTCGCCCCTTGACGGACCACTTAACGAAGGCGGCGAGGAAGGTTGCCTCGTCACTTATCACTACAATTGTTGTGTATGATGACAACTTCCGCAGCTGTTTATTGTAGAAATTGTATTCAATAATCTCTATAATCTATCAGAGATAGGAGGTTCACCAACCTCAGCAGTAATGGACATAGCTTTAGTATTAGTGTGAATGACTAGATTTCTATAACATTACAGTGACAGCCAAAATAAACAATTGCCTTACTTAGGGTAGCAACGATGTAAACATAATCTGGTACCTACCTAACAATAAGCAAACAGCTTACCATCTTAACATTATCAACCAGCAGAGAGAGGTACTCGTCCCTCTGCTTGAAATCAGATCCATTAATTACTGCTTCGAAAAATCCAGCTCCTCCTGGAAACCGTAGATGATCTATTATCTGAAAGGAAAAAAAATATTTCATGTGAAGCTAATATATTATTTGTTACTAGTTACGAGGCACCAAAAAAAATGCCCCATAAATTCTCCTCGTGGTATAAATTGTCTAAACAAAGTCTTAAATTTTTTAAACACGTAATATTTTTCACAATATCAACAAAAAGATTTGTGCAATCAACTACACAGCAAATAAATATTTGACATTAAAATTTAAGAAAGAGAATATAGTAAAAGGGGGAGATTAATATATTTGCTAGAAATTTTCATTTAATTCAAATCATTGAACGTCATATTTATATATTAAGCTCTTCTGAGAAATTACTACTTTATGGTTGATTTAGGGGATTAGTTAATTACTTTTCATCTGCTCAAATATAATTATATAATTCAATGATAATTCCCTGGATCAGTTGCACCTTTTCTCACTTCGATTTAAAAAAAAAATCTTCATAAAATTTAGGAAAAATTGTTTTCCATATAATAACTAGAAAATACGTTTTCTGATCGTCTTCAAGTATTAAGAACAAGTGAATCTTTATAGGAAGTATTTTTGTATTGAACTTCGGCGATGTTAGAGCTTTTCCTAATTTTAAAAAAAAAAAAATGTATGAAAATGGACTCATTTTCATACATTTTTTTTGGGGGTAAAATTAGGAAAAGCTCTAACATCGCCGAAGTTCAATACAAAAATACTTCCTATAACGATTCACTTGTTCTTAATACTTGAAGACGATCAGAAAACGTATTTTCTAGTTATTATATGGAAAACAATTTTATTTTCATTAATTTTTTTTATTAACACACTGGCCGGTTCCCACCAAGGCAGGGTGGCCCGACAAAGAAAAATTTTCACCATCATTCACTCCATCACTGTCTTTCCAGAGGGGTGCTTTACACTACAGTTTTTAAACTGCAACATTAACACCCCTCCTTCAGAGTGCAGGCACTGTACTTCCCATCTCCAGGACTCAAGTACTGCCTGCCGGTTTCCCTGAATCCCTTCATAAATGTTACTTTGTTCACACTCCAACAGCACGTCAAGTATTAAAAACCATTTGTCTCCATTCACTCCTATCAAACACGCTCATGCATGCTTGCTGGAAATCCAAGTCCCTCGCACACAAAACCTCCTTTATCCCCTCCCTCCAATCTTTCCTAGGCCGACCCCTACCCCGCCTTCCTTCCATTACAGACTGATACACTCTTGAAGTCATTCTGTTTCGCTCCATTCTCTCTACATGTCCGAACCACCTTAACAAGCCTTCCTCAGACCTCTGGACAACAGTTTTGGCAATCCTTCACGTCCTCCTAACTTCCAAACTACAAATTCTCTGCATAATATTCACACTACACATGGCCCTCAGACATGACATCTCCACTGCCTCCAGCCTTCTCATCGCTGCAACATTCATCACCCATGCTTCACACCCATATAAGAGCGTTGGTAAAACTATACTCTCATACATTCCCCTCTTTGCCTCCAAGGACAAAGTTCTTTGTCTCCACAGACTCCTAAGTGCACCACTCACCCTTTTCCCCTCATCAATTCTATGATTCACCTCATCTTCCATAGACCCATCTGCTGACACGTCCACTCCCAAATATCGGAATACATTCACCTCTTCCATACTCTCTCCCTCCAATCTGATATCCAATTTTTCATCACCTAATATTTTTGTTATCCTCATAACCTTACTCTTTCCTGTATTCACTTTTAATTTTCTTCTTTTACATACCCTACCAAATTCATCCACCAACCTCTGCAACTTCTCTTCAGAATCTCCTAAGAGCACAGTGTCATCAGCAAAAAGCAACTCTGACAACTCCCACTTTATGTGTGATTCTTTATCTTTTAACTCCCCGCCTCTTGCCAAGATCCTCGCATTTACTTCTCTTACAACCCCATCTATAAATATATTAAACAACCACGGTGACATCACACATCCTTGTCTAAGGCCTACTTTTACTGGGAAATAATCTCCCTCTTTCCTGCATACTCTAACTTGAGACTAACTATCCTCGTAAAAAGTGTTCACTGCTTTCAGTAACCTACCTCCTATATGATACACCTGCAACATCTGCCACATTGCCCCCCTATCCACCCTGTCATTCGCCTTTTCAAATCCATAAATGCCACAAAAACCTCTTTAGCCTTATCTAAATACTGTTCACTAATATGTCTCACTGTAAACACTTGATCTACACACCCCCTACCTTTCCTAAAGCCTCCTTGTTCATCTGTTATCCTACTCTTAATTCTTTCAATAATAATTCTATCATACACTTTACCAAGTATACTCAACAGACTTATCCCCCTATAATTTTTGCACTCTCTTTTGTCCCCTTTGCCTTTATACAAAGGAACTATGCATGCTCTCTGTCAATCCCTAGGCACCTTACCCTCTTCCATACATTTATTAAATAATAGCATTAACCACTCCAAAACTATATCCCCACCTGCTTTTAACATTTCTAACTTTATCCCATCAATCCCAGCTGCCTAATTACCCAGTTTCATTTTATCTACTGCCTCACGAACTTCCCCCACACTCACAACTGGCTCTTCCTCACTCCTACAAGATGTTATTCCTCCTTGCCCTATACACGAAATCACAGCTTCCCTATCTTCATCAACATTTAACAATTCCTCAAAATATTCCCTCCATCTTCCCAATACCTCTAACTCTCCATTTAACAACTCTCCTCTAATATTTTTAACTAACAAATTCATTTGTTCTCTAGGCTTCCTTAACTTGTTAATCTCACTCCAAAACTTTTTCTTATTTTCAACAAAATTTGTTGACAACATCTCACTCACTCTTTCATTTGCTCTCTTTTTACATTGCTTCACCACTCTCTTAACCTCTCTCTTTTTCTCCATTTACTCTTTCTTCTTTGCATCACTTCTACTTTGTAAAAACTTTTCGTATGCTAACTTTTTCTCCCTTACTGCTCTCTTTACATCATCATTCCACCAATCGCTCCTCTTCCCTCTCGCACCCACTTTCCTGTAACCACAAACTTCTGCTGAACACTCTAAAACTACATTTTTAATCCTACCCCATACATCTTCGACACCATTGCCTATGCTCTCATTAGCCCATCTATCCTCTAAAAGTTGCTTATATCTTACCCTAACTGCCTCCTCTTTTAGTTTATAAACCTTCACCTCTCTCTTACCTGATGCTTCTATTCTCCTTGTATCCCATCTTCCTTTCACTCTCACTGTAGCTACAACTAAAAAGTGATCTGATATATCTGTGGCCCCTCTATAAACATGGACATCTTGAAGTCTACTCAACAGTCATTTATCTACCAATACATAATCCAACAAACTACTGTCATTTCGCCCTATATCATATCTTGTATACTTATTTATCCTCTTCTTAAAAAATGTATTATCTATAAATAAACCCCTTTCTATACAAAGTTCAATCAAAGGGCTCCCATTATCATTTACACCTGGCACCCCAAACTTACCTACCATATCCTCTCTAAAAGTTTCTCCTACTTTAGCATTCAGGTCCCCTACCACAATTACTCTTTCACTTGGTTCAAAGTTTCCTATACATTCACTTAACATCTCCCAAAATCTCTCTCTCTCCTCTACATTCCTCTTTTCTTCAGGTGCATACACTTTTATTATGACCCACTTTTCGCATCCAACCTTTACTTTAATCCACATAATCCTTGAATTTACACATTCATATTCTCTCTTCTCCTTCCATTACTGATCCTTCAACATTATTGCTACCCCTTCCTTAACTCTAACTCTCTCAGATACTCCAGATTTAATCCCATTTATTTCTCCCCACCGAAACTCCCCTACCCCCTTCAGCTTTGTTTCGCTTAGGGCCAGGACATCCAACTTCTTTTCATTCATAACATCAGCAACCATCTGTTTCTTGTCATCCGCACTACATCCACGCACATTTAAGCATCCCAGTTTTATAAAGTTTTTCTTCTTCTCTTTTTTAATAAATGTCTACAGGAGAAGGGGTTACTAGCCCATTACTCCCGGCATTTTAGTCGCCTCATACGACACGCATGGCTTACGGAGGAAAGATTATTTTCCACTTCCCCATTGACAATAGAAGAAATAAAGAAGAACAAGAGCTATTTAGAAAAAGGAGAAAAACCTAGATGTATGTATATATATGTGCATGTGCGTGTCTGTGAAGTGTGAGCAAAGTGTAAGTAGGAGTAGCAAGATATCCCTGTTATCTAGCGTGTTTATGAGACAGAAAAAGAAACCAGCAATCCTACCATCATGTAAAACAGTTACAGGTTTCTGTTTCACAGTCATCTGGCAGGACGGTAGTACTTCCCTGGGTGGTTGCAGTCTACCAACCTACCAACAATTTATTTAATAAAATTGGCAAATTATAATTTACAGGCCTCAAAGTGAATGCCAAGTTTTCTTTTAATGAATCCCATCAGGACTGAAAATTCAAACCTATCTGAAAAGGCATTCTCAAAAAAATGCTTTGAATCTGATCATTTATTTTTTTAACTATAACAATAAAATTATAAATTTGGAACTTCGCAGACTAAACTAATTTTGCATCATTCATCTTATCAAATGTATCAGCGTTAATATTTTGTTATAGACTTTATAACATTGATGATAAGGCTCCTGCTGTACACTTTCCCCTGTACAGTGAACCAGCACTGATAAGTTTAGAGGAAGAACGTGAAATTTAAAAATAAATGAGGCAGCCAGTTAAACCCTTCAAGGACACCTTTAACCACAATTATTCTTTCAAGATGCGACTCAATTTCAAGCTATCTTGATATTAATGGTTTATTAAATAATTAATGCACAGTTGATTAATTAATTTAAATTAATGATTAAGTTAAATATAATGGCTTATTATTATAAATAATCAATCATTATCTCAACAGCGAAAGCTGTTAAGATTATTTTCAGAACATAATATGTAACGAAAAGCCTGAGACACTTGCCATGAAGATAGTGGAGGGTGAGGTAGTGCCGTCCGTAATAAAAATTACAGAGTAGCTGCCATGTTGTGTTGAGGTCAACACAGCCTCCACCACCTGTGTGACCAGCCAAGCCTCCATCACCTGTGTTGAGAGACCAGTCTGCTGCAGGCGCATCATGGACCACTTCATATCCTGTTTACCTGTCAGAAAATGAAGTTTAGACTCTTTATTTGTTACATTTTTGAGGTCTGGAATCAAGAACAGAAATGACTGGATCTTGCTAATTGTTCCAGTGAATGGCATCTAAGACCTTTAAATAACAGAATCATCAGGTGAAAGAGCTGGGGGAAGGTAGAAGGAGATTCAGTGTTTTAAAGAGGAGTAAAAGTTGCATTCCTGAAACAAGGAAAAGGAGAAACGAAAAGGAGAGAAGTAGCAATGAGTAGAAACTGGTAGATAAGAAAGATCTGAAGCTGAAATAAGAAGATTAAAGGAACGCCTATCAAGACTACAAGATCCTTCTCTGTGTTACGTTTTGGATGTGGATCGGTCATAAAGAATCACATGGCGATGACCAGTAAAGGTAAGAATATTTCATCGGCTGAGGACTCGCAGAGTAAAATTATGGACAGAGTTCTTTGCAACGAGAATATGAATATGAAGCAAAGGGTGTGTTTTGTCGTGGCCGAGAGGGAGAATATCGTGAGTCCACTAGTAAACATGACTGGTAAAGGGATAAACCCTAGGCTACGTTTGGTGTTCTAGTTTGGTACTGGTTTACCAACGAAACGACCTACCAACAGGTGCTGGTATCTACACAACTTACATATACAAGTACATTGTATGACCTTCCAACACGTGCTGGTATCTACACAACTTACCTATACAAGTATATTGTATGACCTACCAACATGTGCTGGTATCTACAAAACTTACATATATAAGTACATTGTATGACCTACCAACAGGTGCTGGTATCTACACAACTTACACATGCAAGCACATTGTATGACCTACCAACATGTGCTGGTATCTACACAACTTACATATACAAGTGCATTGTATGACCTACCAACAGGTGCTGGTATCTGCACAACTTACATATGTAAGTACATTGTATGACCTACCAACATGTGCTGGTATCTACACAACTTACATATACAAGTACATTGTATGACCTACCAACTGGTGCTGGTATCTGCACAACTTACATATATAAGTACACTGTATGACCTACCAACAGGTGCTGGTATCTGCACAACTTACATATAAAACTACACTGTATGACCTACCAACAGGTGCTGGTATCTGCACAACTTACATATACAAGTACATCGTATGACCTACCAACAGGTGCTGGTATCTACACAACTTACATATACAAGTACATTGTATGACCTACCAACAGGTGCTGGTATCTGCACAACTTACACATGCAAGTACATTGTATGACCTACCAACATGTGCTGGTATCTACACAACTTACATATACAAGTACATTGTATGACCTACCAACAGGTGCTGGTATCTGCACAACTTACATATATAAGTACACTGTATGACCTACCAACAGGTGCTGGTATCTGCACAACTTACATATAAAACTACACTGTATGACCTACCAACAGGTGCTGGTATCTGCACAACTTACATATACAAGTACATCGTATGACCTACCAACAGGTGCTGGTATCTACACAACTTACATATACAAGTACATTGTATGACCTACCAACATGTGCTGGTATCTACACAACTTACATATGCAAGTACACTGTATGACCTACCAACATGTGCTGGTATCTGAACAACTTACGTATATAAGTACATTGTATGACCTACCAACAGGTGCTGGTATCTTCACAACTTACATGTACAAGTACATTGTATGACCTACCAACAGGTGCTGGTATCTGCACATCTCCCCAACACACAACAGACAATGGAAACACCATCCACAATATACTCGTCATCCTCTTTACTGAGACACTGCAACGAAAACATAATTAGTGAATATATTGACGAACACAAAATCATTTTGTTTAACAGGCGTGTGTGTGTGTACTCACCTAGCTGTACTCACCTAGTTATGGTTGTATGGGTGGATTCATAGCTCCTGGCCCCGCCCTTTTGCTAGTCGCTACTAGATCTACGCCAAGGTGCGTGTGTGTGTGTGCGTTTACTCACCTAGTTGTGGTAGCTGAGGTCAATACATAGCTCCTGGAGTCGCCTCTTTGCTGGTCCCTACTAGGACGACTCTTTTCCTTCTCCACGAGCTTTATCGAACCTCTTCTTAAAGCTTTGTGTGGTTCCTGTCTCCACTACTTCGTTCTCCACATTGTTCCACTTCCAGACAACTCTATGACTGAAGAAATACTTCCAAACATCCCTGTGACTCATCTGGGTTTTCATCTTCCAGCTGTGACCTCTTGTTGCTGTGTCCCATCTCTGAAACATTCTGTCCCTATCCACTTTGTCAATTTATTTCTGTATTTTATATATCATTATCATATCTCCCCTATCTCTCATGTCTTCGAGTATGGTCAGGTTGAGTTCCCTTAACCTCTCCTTGTAGGACATACCCTTTAGCTCCGGGATTAGTCTTGCTGCAAACCTTTCCACTTGTTTTTTAATTTTTTAACCTGTTTGACCAGGTGTGGGTTCCATATGGGCCTGACGTACACAGTGTACAGTGTCTGAATGAGTCCTTACTCGGATGTCAAAACGCTATTCTTAGGTTTGCCAGGCGCCTGTATGCTGCAGTAGTTATTTGGTTGATGTGCACCTCAGGAGATGTACTCTGTTTGCTGCCTTTGACCTCCTAGACTGTACCCCGTCTGCGGTCATTTTTATCCTTCCGCAAACTTCATGCTGAGGTTAAACTCCAGGAACCATTTATAGGACAAGGTTTGCGGCCTGTCCAGATCCTCTTGAAGGCTTGCTTGATCCTCGTCCACTTTTATTTGCCCCATTAGCTTCGTATCATCTGCAGGCATGGACATCTCTGAATCTATTCCTTTGTCATGTGATTCACATATACCAGAAACAGCACCGGCCTTAGGACTAACCTTTGTGGCACCCTACTCGACACATGCACCCACTCTGACACTTCGTCAATTACCAACACATGTTGTTTCCTTCCTGTCAGGTATTCCCTGATCCACTGCAACACTCTCCCTGCTATTCCTGCCTGCTCCTCTAGCTTTTCAACTAGTCTTTTGTGTGGTCTCTATCGAAAGCCTTCTTACATTCCAAGAATATGCAATCTACCCATTCCTATCTCTCCTGTCTTACCTCTGTTGCCTTATCGTAGAACTCCAGTAGATTTGTGATGCAGGATTTCTCTTCCCTGAAGCTCTGTTGGTTGTCATATATGAGCCCGTTCCTTTCTAGGTGCTCCACCGCTCTTCTGATAATCATCTCTATAACTTTACATACTATACACGTCATCGACACAGATCTGTAGTTTAGTGCTGCCTGTCTGTCTTCTTTCTTAAAAATTGGGACTACGTTTGCTGTCTTTTGCACCCCAGGCAGTTGCCTTGTTTCAATAGATTTACTGAAGATTATCGGAAGTGGTACACATAGTGCATCTACTCCCTCTCTTAAGACCCACGGATAGATGTTATCTTGGCCCACTGCCATCGAGGTACCTAGTTCATCTTGCAGTTTCTACACCTCCTCCTCGGTTGTGTGCAATGTTTCCAGCACTTGTTGGTGCATACTACTCCCTTGGTTTGCTGGAAGCCTCTCTCACTCTCTCCACTGTGAATACTTCCCTGAATCTTGGACTGAGCTCCTCACATACTTCCTGGTCGCTCTCTGTGAACTCCCTTCCTTCCTTCTTCAGCCTGATCACCTGGTCCTTGACTGTTGCTTTCCTTCTAATGTGGCTGCATAACAGCTTTGGGTCAGTTTTGGCTTTTGATAGTGTGTCATTCTCGTATTTCCTTTGGGCCTCTCTCCTTATCCATGCATATTCATTTCTGGCTCTTCTGCTCAACTCCCTGTTTTCCCAAGTCTCTTTCCGTCTATACTCTTTCCATGCTCTAGCACACTTGGCTTTGGCCTCAATCTGGTCTTTCCATTGTTGCTGTTGCCCCTTGGCACGAACTTCTCCTTTGCCTCCATGCACTTTGCTGTCATGTGTTCCATCATTTCGTTACTGTCTTCCCATGGGCATAAAAGTTGCTTTCCCAGGATGGTGTAAGAAAGCAAACATACACCGCTAGTTATTTCTGATGGAGCACCTTGTAGCCAATACGACTGACGATCTTAAAATGCATCATGAATATGAAAAATATTTCTCAGTTGAAAGGGGTTAGTAAGTTGCTTAATAACTTTGAGATTCTTTGAACATTGAGCGTCGGTTGTGCCAACACAGCTCAGCTGAACTAATATCAAAGACCAAATTTACCTGAGTCAGTACATGTATTTGAGTTACCTAATACCAGGTGATCAGTGTTGGGCCAGTTGATACTACAAAATTAAACCAGAGGTTGAATTGCAGCTAATACAATAAATTGGGACACATGTGAGCAGTATTTTAGGACACATGCGAGCTTCATTTTAGGCTGAAAAACTAATAAGCCAACAGCCTATTAGTTTTGGAGACAAATTCCTGTTCAGACTGTATGGGAACCACATGAGCCAAATCAGTTCCAAGACCCACGTGAAAATTCCGCCTAATAATAATTTATATTATGTGAGGGAAAAGTTCAATAGATAAAAGTAGCGATATAGTAACAATAGTTTCATTGCCGGCTACTTGTTAAGGTAGGGTAAGTCCAGCTTCCGCTATCGCCCCCCCCCTTTTTTCCCCCTCCCCGAAAGTGATAGATTGATTGCCGGCTGCTTGTTAAGGTAGGGTCAGTCTAGTTCCAGCTATCCCTTCCCCTCCTTCTTCCCCCCCCCCCGAAAGGTGACGTGTGGGGCTCCGGTCCAAACAGTAATCACTAGACTCACAGCTCCCACGCTACTGTAAGTACATGCCTGCCTTGTATTCTAGTGGATTTATTGGTTAAAGCTTCACTTTTGACCAATAATAAACTTAGTCCTTTCAGTCTTGCTCTAAGTTGACTGTTGTAATAATCACCACATCTTTTAGGTATTGTACTTATCATGGAGAGTGATTTCTTAAGCAGTGGGTAACCTGTCTATCTTTCCAGCTTGGATGACAGAGAGGGTCACCTGCCAATCA